AAATCCAATAATGGGCAGTTTAGGGACATCCCTGGGGGTCCAGTGGCTAAGACTCCATGTTCCTAATGCAGGGGGTCCAGATTCAATCCCTGGTCAGGAAACTAAGATCCCATGTACCGCAACAAAGCCCACAAGCCATAACTACTGAGCCGTAGGGCTCTAGTGCCCACAGGCCCGGACTAGAGAAGACCATGTGCAAGAAGCAAGACCCAGTTCAGTTCGGCTCAGTCGCTCAGTCAAGTACAACTCTTTGTGACCCCATGGATTGCAGCAAGCCAGGCTTCCATCACCAGGAGTTCCATCACCAACTCTCAGCGCTTACACAAATTCATGTCCATCGTGTCAGTGATGCCATCCAACAGTCTCATCCTCTGTCATTCCCTTCTCCTCCTGCCTTCAATCTTTCCTAGCATCAGGGATTTTTCCAATGAGTCAGTTCTTCCCATCAGGTGGCCAAAATATTGGAGCTTCAGCTTCAGCATCAGTCCTTCCAATGAACACCCAGGGCTGATCTTTAGGATGGACTGGTTGGATCTCCTTGCACTCCAAGGGACTCTCATGAGTCTTCTCCAACACCACAGTTCAAAAGCATCAATTCTTTGGTGCTGAGCTTTCTTTGTAGCCCAACTCTCACATCCATACATGACTACTGGAAAACCATAGTTTTGACTAGACAGCCCTTTGTTGGCAAAGTAATGTCTCTGCTTTGAAAAAATGCTGTCTAGGTTGGGCATAGCTTTTCTCCCAAGGAGCAAGTGTCTTTTAATTTCATGGCTACAGTCACCATCTGCAGTGATTTTGGAGCCCCCCAAAATAAAGTCTGTCACTGTTTCCATTGTTTCCCCATCTATTTGCCATGAAGTGATGGGACCATATGCCATGATCTTAGTTTTCTGAATGTTGAGTTTTAAGCCAAGTTTTCCACTCTCCTCTTTTGCCAAAATAAATATTTTAAAAATTTTAATTTTTAATTGCTTTTAACTTTTATTTTTAAAAAAAATTAATTAAAAAATTTAATTAAAAAATTGAAAAGCAGGGCAACTAATCCTATGACCTTATGAAAGGAGATAGACTATGAAGAGCATTGTATCTGACGGGTGATAGGAGTCTAGTGAATTGTCAAAAGTACACTTGTGGAATAAAAAAAAAAAAAACAACTATATCTAGCATTATTATTCCACTGGTCATGGTTACATGGCTATTGCTCAGCTACTTAATAAAAGGTTTACCATCTCTCTTGAACTCCCCTACTTCAAGCAGAGTATTATTTTATTTATTTGTATATATTTTAATGGACAATAGCAGAATGAATACATATTCATATTAAATCTATTTTCTAATTTAAAAAAATTAACAAATGAAAGTACTGAAATATAAGCCAATTGTTATGTATAAACTAATGCAGATGGAGAATAAAATAATTTCAAAGGAATTTCCTATTACATGGGCATCAAACATTTTTGTAATTGCCACCCAGTCCCTAGCTGGTTCTTCTCAGACTCATGCATTTCAGGTCTGTGAGAGAAAGTCCACTTTATAATTGGTTAACAGATGAAGGCCAAAAGGTTTCAAGAAGAGAATTCTAAAGATTCAAGGGAAACATGAGAAATTTAGTTTATTGGCTGTTTATATTAGGGGGATACAAAATGGTTTTGGTAAAGCACTAAGGCTGTGGGTCACATAGGCTTAGATTTAAATTCTTGTTCAGCCAAACTTTAGATAACTGATCTCTAGCAATATAATTAACCTCTCTGATGCTTTGTTTCCTAATTTATGAAATGGAAATATTAATATGACTGTAATTATTGGGCTATAGTGAAAATTAAATAAAATGAATATAAAGCCCTTTGCACAGGGTGAAAATACAAGAAAAGCTGTCATAATTTTTTGCACTAACATTCACTTATTTATATTCATACCATTCTTAGCATAGGTTCACATTATGTTCAAATGAAGAAATTTAAGTTCCACAGTTTGAGATAAATTAAAGAAAGACATAATTTAAGGTCTCAAATTTGTTTCCTTTAAAACATAAAATGAGTGAGTGTTCAGATGAAGACTTTATTCACAGAAAGGGCTCAGTAAACAGCTATCATTATCATCACTATTATCTTTGCTTTTACATCATCCTATTTCATTCCAGCTATCTTGGGGACTACAACTAGATGTTTAAAAGATAAATGTGATTTTTTTTTTAAACACACAGTTGCTTACATATATTTACAAAATGATCACTCATAGGAGGTTATGGTGAAATAAAATATCTATTTTTAAAGCATTTATATATACAATGAGATCTAACCTGATAATAAAGCCCTAAGAACATGAGAAATGCAAAGCCAACATCACCTGATATTCAAATCCTTGGTTGAGAAATCTCATGAAAACAGGTTTCTGAGCTCTTCCCCAGAAATCACAAGCTCTGGCCTTTTGGTCTCTGGAACTGAGTTGTCCCTTCTCCTCTTTCTTCAAGAGGATGGAGTCAGGACAGGATCCACCATCAGTGAGAATTTCTGAAATAAGTGCTGCTCAAGCATCTCACAACTGATCCCACTAGCTCGCCCACATGTCACTGTAGAGATATTTAAGGGCATTTTAATCCCAGAATAGAGAGTCAGTGAGGGACTAGCTCTCAATATTCAGAGACCTGCACACTGGCTGACATGACACATTTTGCAGTGAAGTGAGGCTGGGATGGACGTTTGGTCTCCCTGTGGTTGTGGTTAGTGAATAACAGTAGTGTTTTCTGGGTTCCTCTGTTAGGAACCACTACCCCTAGCATCCCTTATGCTCTGGTGGCATCTCTGAAGGCTACAATGTCTGAGCAATTTTAGATTTTCAGCAGACTCATTTTACCAATTAAGTCATTTAATCCTCACAATTTAAGCAAGTGCATAACGTTAGTTCCCTTTGACAGATGAAAAATACAGAGAGGTGAAACAACTTGCTAACATTGACAAGGCTGATTAATGCTATAGACAAGAAGAGAAACCAACACTTTTTGAGTCAAAGCTCTTAATCTCTGATTTTAAAACAACTATTTCTGAATCTCTTGGAATTTTATTACATTGTGGTCTAGTTTATTTTCTATAACACAGGTTTGCGATTGCTGCCCAGTTCTGTGACACATGTTCTTGTGCTTAGCCACTAGGTCATGCCCCACTCTTTGTGACTCCATGGACTGTAGCCCCCCAGGCTCCTCTGTCCATGGGGTTTCCTAGACAGGAATACTGCAGTGGGTTGCCATTCCTTCTTCAGGGGATCTTTCTAAACCAAGAACTGAACCCACGTTTCCAGATTGGCAGACAGATTCTTTACCACTCCACCACCAGTGAAACCCTCTATAACACACACTTATTCTTAAATCACTGGTAATTTCCCATAAGAATGACTTCATTTTCAGAATTTTCTTTTCCTCTGTTGGAGTCTAAAACTACTTTTATGTACAGGTATTTTCTGCCTTAACTCTACAGACTTTATAAATGATGTTTCTTTTATGCTCACCAATATTCTATTTCCAATTTTTTTGTGAACTATGGTATACTATAGGGAATGATGGAAATGTAATTTTTGAAAACTACTTCTGTGTGCAAATCCTGTCTTCTTGGGATTGTGATAAGTAAAAAGTATTGTTTTTAATTACTGTAGTGGGAGAACATTTATAAACCTCTCAAACCCAGGATGATCAGAAAATAGTATACCTTGATAAATGTACTTTTAGAATACTCTTTCTTTACTGTTCTACATTTTTTTAATGTATAGTTACTTTCCCTCTTTTAAAATAAAACTTCACTCTAGTTATAGTGCTTGGTATAATGAGTGTTCAACAATATTGCTGTTGATCTGTTTCATACCCACAATCAGGGCAACATTATGACTTTTGTGAGCCCCTGATACTTTCATCCTCATTGACCATTTCCTCCATAAAATATTAAAAATCATATTTTCTGACTGCATTGTTATATAGATGACTATAATCCAAGTTGAATTTAAGTTATATTAATTTTTTCTAGCTGTTTTAAAGTTAAAACATGTCAAGGGCTCTTAAAAATATTGTCATCTGTAGGCACTGTGTCGACTATGCCTTAATGGGTTTCAACCCTTGCTTACAATATATGAGCCCCTGAAAAAAAAAAAAAAACTGATCCAGACTAATACAGGAAATAAATTCCTATAAATATCACTAGTGTGTTTTTTTTTTAACCTGAATACTCCAAACAAGGTTTATTCATCACCAGTTTTCATTATTTGTACCCAGAGCTTCTTCATGATATTTTTCACTTCTGCATTTCTCAGGGTATAGATTAAAGGATTCAACATAGGAGTTACTATGGGGCAAAACACAGTCACAGCTTTGTCAGTGGGGAAGGAGGTCGTGGGTCTTAGGCAGAGGAACGAACAAGGTACAAAGAATGAGATGACAACTGTGACATGAGAGGCACAGGTGGACAAGGCTTTTCTGTGTTTCCTGTGAGTTTGCTATTTCAGAGCTGTGGGTCCTCAGGGAGCGCAGGATGACAACGCAGGAAGCAACCAGCACTGAAAAAATTAGCAAACACAGTGACTCACCGTTGGCAGAAATCAGGGGCCCCAGAGTGTGCATGTCCGTGCAGGCTAGCTCCAGGAGAGGTATTAAATCACACATAAAATGGTCAATAACATTGTGGCCACAGAATTGTAACTGAACCATGAACAAAATCTGGATCCCTCCATAGAGAAACCCTAAAGCCCAAGCCATTCCAACCAGGAAAGCACACACAGGTTGGTTCATGACAGTCATGTAGTGCAGGGGCTTACAGATGGCTACATAGTGGTCATAGACCATGCCAATCAACAAGACAATCTCGGCTCCAGCAAAGAAATGTTCACCAAAGACCTGAGTGATGCAGTCACTGAAGGAAATGATGTTCTTTCCAGAGATCAAGTCAAAGATCAACTTGGGTGCTGTGGAGGAAGAATAGGAACCATGTATCATGGACAAATAAGACAGAAAAATGTACATGGGAGAACCGAGGGCTGGGCTGGTAAAGATGGTGACTGAGATGAGTTGGTTACCTGCCAACATGATCAAGTAGGTGATCAGAAACAAACAAACAAACAAAATTAAGAGCTTTTGCATTCCTGGATTCTGGGTCAGACCCAGTAGGATGAATTCTGTTACATTGCTCATCCTTTCCATCAATTCATCTTGGTCCTTCTGGAAAGATCACAGCTTTTCTGAATGACTGTCTCAAATTTAACATAAAATATTTCATCATATATACAGAATCAATCTATTTAGTGATACATAAATACTAACTACAGCTTTGTAAAGCAACTTGTAGTTTTCAGCAGCATCTTTTAAGGAACATTGGTGTTGTTTAGTCTGTAAGCCATGTCCAACTGTTTTGTGACCCCATTATCTATAGTCTGCCAGATTCCTCTGTCCATGGGATTTTCCAGGCCAGAATACTGCAATGTGTTGTCATTTTCTTCTACAAGGGATCTTCCCAAATCTGGGATCGAACCCATGTCTCCTGCATTGGCAGGTGGATTCTTCTACCACTGAGTCACCAGGGAAGCCCTTTGGGAACATTATAGTATTTATTAATATCTTCTCATCATTATGTTCAAATTCATTCTTAGAAAGTTTAACCTTCAATTCACAGAATCTAACTACAAAAATTATCTCAGTGAAATGAAATTGACTAAATTAAGTTAACCTTCTTAAGTTTCAGAAAAAGAACTAGTTGTCACTAACCAGGATTAGTTAGTTGTAGATTCCTCAGTTTTTAAATTAAGCAGCCATTGCTTTCTTCCCACCAGCATTTGTCTCACAGCTGCAAATAAACTGTGTAAACTATCAAGAGGAACATCGAAGTTCTGGTCTCTAGACAGCTTTCTCATTTTCTTGATTTACTCAGAAAATGAACTTCTAGTTAAGAAAGTGGTAGTTCTAGGATTTAATTTTGACTAGACTCATTTTCTTGGCTTCTTGTGAGGTTATAAATCCATCTTCAAAAATGTATTATGAAAAATTCTTCAAATCAAGAATAACTAGTACATGGAATTATAGAATGTATAAGGAAATCAAATCTATTTGATTGGACATGGTTTCCTCAAATTAATTCTGCCAAAGAGTCTTTGTGAGCAGCGAGTCCCAAACAGATCTTCAGCTTGCTGGTGCATGGCTCTGTGGCTATTATTTACTTCAAGGTCCTTCTTTACAACTCTTTCTTCATTGACTCTAGATAAGTGCTTAAATAGATTTTCACAAAGTGCAGGGCTTGGTAGTGCATTGACCTGCCAAGTCCTTAGAGGATTAGTACTTGGCCCTGTTGGAATATTTACTGACTTTCCTTTGCCTCTATCTGGCTCCCACAGACAACAATTAGAGGCCAGAAATGCAGTTGAGCTTAGGTTAAACACATGCCTCTGGCTATAATTAAGGCTGAGACTTGGTAAGGTAAGTGCAAAGTTTGGTGACAGGGCTTTGTCCCTCATTTTGGCATTGGTGACCCTGGCAGAATGAATGTTCAAAAGGCTATGGTTGCTCTGAGAATGGAAATGACAGTCTTCAAAGTTATGTGCCAGCTTATCCTGTGATATTGTGATGTTTTTATGAGGAAACTTAGATGGCAGGATTCCCAGTTCCCAAACACTGAGTAATTTAAAAGTCATAAGCATATAAACTTCCTCTGGGATGAGTACCTAGGTGACAGGTTCTCATGGTTTCTGTGGTATTCTCATGGTATTCTCCCTACAAAGAGAGAGAATCATGGGAATTTACAGTAAGTCCTAGGCTTTCACAGAGTAGCCAGTGAGAAAATCACACCCAGCTACTCACTCATGTATGAAGAAGTACAGAGGTAGAGAATAGAAACACTACAGAAAGGAGGCTCCACTACTGTCATCTGTCCCACAGCCTCTAAGGTGATGAAGATCCACCTGGGACCCTGCACAGAAGCACCTTTTTTTGTTATCAACCTTTACCTTTAAACCAAATGAATGCATTCTTGAAGTTCAGAACAGAGAGGAAGCCATGCACTCAGCTCTCTCCACAACAGTTAACAACTTTGCTCCTGTTTGCTGCCAACCTCACTCAAAGTCTGTCCCTTCCCCTTGATTCTTTTATTGTCATACAATACACATAACATGAAATTTAGCATTTTAAGTGCACAGTTTAGTGGCATTTAATACATTTATTAATATATTGTCATGTAAACATCTTCATAACTTTTTCATATTCTCAGATTGAAACCCCACATCTGTTAAATAATTGCTTCTCATTCCTGCCTTCCCCCAGGCCCTAGAAACCATAATTTTGTTCTCTTTGCCGCTAACAGTTTTCTTATTTTATACAATTAGAATAAGTGGAATTATGCAGTATTTGTCCTTCTATCAGTGACTTATTTTATTTAAAATAATGACATAAGTATTCATCCATGTTGTTACAAATGGCAGGATTTCCTTCTTTTTAAAGTCTGAATGATTTTCCACGTAAGTATACACCACATTAGAAAATCCATTCATCTACTGATGGATATTTAGGTTGTTTCCACATCCTGGCTTTAGTGAATAATGCTGATAGAGAAAAGTGAAAGTTGTTCAGTCACGTCTGACTCTTTGTGACCCCATGGACTATATAGTAAATGGAATTCTCCACGTCAGAATACTGGAGTGGGCAGCCTTTCCCTTCTCCAGGGGATCTTCCCAACCCAGGGATCAAACCCAGGTTTCCCTCATTGTAGGGGGATTCTTTACCAGCTGAGCCACCAGGGAAGCCCAAGAATACTGGGGTGGGGAGCCTATCCCTTCTCCAGCTGATCTTCCTGACCCAGGAATCAAACTGGGGTCTCCTGCATTGCAGGTGGATTCTTTACCAACTGAGCTATCAGGGAAGCTCAAAAGTGAAAGTGAAAGTTGCTCAGTTGTGTCCAACTCTTTGTGACCCCATGGACTATACAGTCCATGCAATTTTCCAGGCCAGATTACTGGAGTGGGCAGCCTTTCCTTTCTCCAGGGGATTTTTCCAGCCCAGGGATTGAACAATGCTGAAATAAACTTAATAGTGCAAATACTTCCTTGAGATCCTAATTTAAATTGTTTTGAATAAATACCCAAAAGTGGGATTACAGGACATATGGTACTTCTAAATTTGATTTTTTGAGGAAACCCCCTCCTGTTTTCCAAAAGTTCTGTACCAATTTATATTCCCATTGACAGTAAGACAAAAGTCCCCATTTTTCCACATCTTTGCCAACCCTTTTGTTTTATATAATGGGCATTCTAACAGTGAGGGGATATCTCATTGTGGTTTTGATTTGCATTTCCCTGATGGTTAATGCTGTTAAACATCTTTTCATATATTTGTTATTCATATGTATGTCTCTTTTGTAGAAATACATATTCAAGGCCTTTGCCCATTTAAAAAAATTAAGCTATTGTTGAGCATGTGAACACTAGGTTAAAGTGAAAGTGAAATCACGCAGTCGTGTCCGGCTGTTTGCAACCCCATGGACTGTAGCCTACCAGGCTCCTCCATCCATGGGATTTTCCAGGTAAGAATACTGGAGTAGGTTGCCATTTCCTTCTCCAGGGGATCTTCCCAACCCAGGGATTGAACCTGAATCTCCTGCATGGCAGACAGATTCTGTACCCTCTGAGCCACTAGGGAAACCCTTAAGGTACTAGATACCTAAGTTATTACATGAAAATAATAATTTAATTACCTAAAATTTAATTTATTTTGTTTCTATTAAATTGGAACATTTAGCAGACATTGATTTTTCTAGTTCAACCTGAGTACATCTCTGACAATTTTCAGTAGGGTTCCACATAGATACGATGGCCCTTGTGTAACCCATGAATAGGATTTCCTGAAATCTCTGTATGTTTAGTCCATACTTGAGTCCATATTTGAGTTAAATCTTCTGCTATGCAATGAGGTTTTCTACATTTTCTGTTGTGTTTCCAATAGTAACACAAATTAATGGAAAGTAAGCTGAATTAGAATGGGGAGATATTGACTTGGCTGTAGCTGGAGACTTGTCCAACTTCTCTTTTACCCCCACTTGCTCATTTAACCCCACTTCTGACTGTGCTGTAGACAGTATCATGCGTAAGAAGTTAAATTACTCATTCCCCTTGCTTTACACATTATATATACTTCTGGGTTTTGCTTTCCTTCAATTTGGAGAAATCTTCCTAGTTAAAGACTACCCATCCTTCTGCAGTCTAAAGGGATGAATCAATGTTAAAAAAAAAAAAGAAAAAAAGTTTTGTGACCGTCAGTGAAAGATTCTATTAAATGACTTTGTACCTATTCACTTGAGGGAAGGAGGAAGAACAATGTCTTTGTAAATTAGAATCTCGTCTGGTAAAATATTCCTGCCTACCCTTTATTCCCCTATACTCAGGTAATGCCTGTGTTTATCTAAGTTTTGATAAAATAAAAACAGTCCCACCCACCAGCAGTCTATTTTCCTGGAAATATGAGTCTTCTTAAAGTAGCTAAATATCTCAACCTGCTGAGAATCTGATGATCAGTATGATGAGATAGTTGGATGGCATTGCCAACTCGGACCCTAATTTGAGAAAACTCTGGGAGTTGGTATGGGAACTCCCAGTGAAGCCTGGCATGCTGCAGTCTATGGGGTCACAAAGAGTTGAACAGGACTGAAAACTTGAACTAAACTGAATGATAAGAACTGGGGCCTCTCTGGTGCCTCAGTGGTAAAGAACCTGCCAGCCAATGCTGAAGATGTAAGAGATGCCGGTTCAATCCCTGGGTGGGGAAGATCCCCTGAAGGAGAAAATGGCACCCCACTCCAATATTCTCGCCTGGATAATCCCATGAAAGAGGAGCTTGGCTCACTATAGTTCATAGGGTTGCAAGTGTCAGACACGACTGAGTGTCTGAGCAGTGGAGCAGTGTGTGCTAATACCAGATCAATGCTTGATAAACCATACACCACGCTGGAGTGTATGTGTATGTGGGTGCAAGTGTGTGTGGTCACATGTGCACACTGGACATTTGTTTCAGAATTTCACACCACATTACAGTTAATATACAATCATGCTTATACTTTTTCATGACTTTAGTTCAGTCAATCTTAACTGTATTCCCTGTCTTCTAAAAGTATCATCAAATTATAGATTCTTTCTGATATCACTGTCAGTATACATCAGGTGCAGGTG